ATGAATTCTATATAAGTCATAAGAAATATCTTCAAGTAATTTTAATTTAGTTTGCCAATCAAGATTATGAAAATTTTTTCTTAAAAACTTGTGAAAACTTCTAGCATATTGAAATACCATTAGATATTATTATACAAAAAGATATAACAAAGTAGTATTTAAACTTTTTATTTGTGTAACTTATAATAGTCTATGCCAAGTTTATAGTTGTAAAGCATACTTTAATTAGACTTTATATCATTATTTGACATATTTGTAAATAGTATATAGCTTATTTGTAGTCTAATAGTATATATATATAGACAGATATTCTTGTAAGTAGAGTTAGAGTTTGGAGTTAGAGTTAGAATTTAAGAGTTTAGTAAATTTTTAGATCTCTTTTGAAAAGTTGTTAGTTTTTAGTGAGTTGGGAACTTACTAGATTGATTAGTAAAATAGAGATATTTGTTACTGTTAGTGTCTAAAATACAATAAAGAGTTATTGGTTTATTACTTTTTAATGTTTTGTATAAACAAATATTCAGTTTTTCATATTAATGCTTATAACTGTTAAGTCTAAGCGAAATATGAACTCGTAGGTCATTAAGTCTAATTATATAATTGAATATAGTTTATTAGCTAAATTGTAAATTATAATTATTATTTAAAAGAACTTTCTCTTACCTCTGCTTCTATTAACTGTGTATAATTTCAAGGTATTTTTTTTATTATTAATATAATTTATTAATAGCTATCTTATTTTTATATATATATTTATTAATAGATGGCTTTAGCAAAATACGAACTCATAGGTTGTTAAGTCTAATTACATAGTTAGATAACGTATAGTCTATTAGCTAAATTGTAGATTATAACTATTATTTAAAGAAACTTTTTTTTACCTCTTCTTCTATAACCTGTGTAATTAAGATATTTTTTTTTATTATTATTAGTTTTTTTTATAGGAGCAATATATTTGTAACCATGGCTACTGTAACTGTATCCCATAAAAGCCAATCAAATTTAAAGATCAGGTGTAATGTAACACAATTAGAAAAATTCAAAACAATGTTCGTTCTGTCAAAAATTGTCAAAAAATGGTTATAACTCAAAATTGAGTATATGTAACTACTCTTTGGGTTCTAACAAAAAAGTTTTCTTGCTAAATTTTACTATAAAACACACTTTTTTAACTGCATACTATCTTTACCTCAATCTAACCCTAATTAACAAAAAAAAGAGTTATTTTAGTTACGGCTATAGTAGCCGCATGGCTACAAATATATTAATCCTTTTTTATAATATAATTTATTATTAGCTATCTCATTTTTACATATATATTTATTAATTGACAGCTTAGCGAAATACGAACTCATAGGTCATTAAGTCTAATTACGTAGTTGAATATCTTGTAGTTTATAGCTAAATTATAAATCATAATTATTATTTAAAGGAACCTTCTTTTACCTCTTCTTCTATAATCTATATAACTTTAAGTATTTTTAATATTATTATTATTAGTTTTTTTTTAATATAATTTATTAATAGCTATCTTATTTTTACATATATATTTATTAATTGATGGCTTTAGCGAAATACAAATTCATAGATTGTTAAGTCTAATTATGTAGTTGGATATCGTGTAGTCTATTAGCTAAATTTTAAATAATTATTATTATTTAAAAGAACTTTCTCTTACCTCTCCTTCTATAATCTGTATGCAACTAAGATATTTTTTTTAATATTATTATTAATTTTTGTTTTACTTAATATAATTTATTAATAGCTATCTTAATTTTACATATATATTTGTTAATTGATGGCTTTAGCAAAATACAAACTTGTAGGTTATTAAGTCTAATCATGTAGTTGGATATTATGTAGTCTATTAACTAAATTGTAAATTATAATTATTATTTAAAGAAACTTTATCTTACCTCTTTTCTTCTATCAATTGTATAACTAAGGTATTTTTTTTATTATTATTAGTTTTTTTATTAATAGCTATCTTATTTTTTACATATATATTTATTAATTAATACTTAGATAATAATAACTTTGGCTTTAGTGAAATACGAACTTGTAGGTCATCAAGTCTAATTACGTAGTTGAATATCATGTAGTCTATTAGCTAAATTGTAAATTATAATTATTATTTAAAGAAACTTTATCTTGCCTCTTTTCTTCTATCAATTGTGTAACTAAGGTATTTTTTTATTATTATTAGTTTTTTTTTATTAATAGCTATCTTATTTTTTATATATATATTTATTAATTGATACTTAGATAATAATAACTTTGGCTTTAGTGAAATACAAATTTGTAGGTTGTTAAGTCTAATTATATAGTTGGATATCATGTAGTTTAGTAGATAAATTGTAAATTATAATTATTATTTAAAAGAACTATCTTTTGCCTCTTTTCTTAACTTTAAAAGATATATTAATAATTATGATTTTTTTATTATTATTATTTAAATATAATTTATTAATAATTTAATTAGAAATAGTACAGTTGACTTAATACTAGCTATATATTTACTATATTTTTACAATGCTGAACAATATATTCACCAAATTCAATTTCTTAATAAAGAAGTTAAAATAATGTATATAAATGATACCAAAACATGCTGCTTTTTTCAAGAAATTGGAAATACTAGTAATTTTTATAAAAGTTTAGCATCTCAATTGGATTCAATTATTAATATTAATAATATTAATAAAACTCTAAAGAAAACAATGAAATTTTAAATATAAAATAAAAAGAACTTTATCCTTTTTCTCATAAGCATACTGCATTCAATTATTAATTTTTGATATATATACTTTATTGAATAACTTCATCTTTGTTAAGATAATGAAATCAAGTAAATAGATGATACTAATGAAACCAGTAAAGTAATGCAAGTGAATAACAGCAGTGATATTGATGCTGAAGAGCATGAAGAAGATGATGCAAAAAGTGATAATGAAGAGGATGATGAAGGTGATAAAGGAAGTAATGAAGATAAGGATGAAGATAAGGATAATGATGATGAAGAACGAAATATTAAGCAACAATATAAATCTATAATTTAATTAGTTTTATTGATTTAAAAAAAAATACTTATTCTAATTTTAATTTTAGACATTGTAACAAAAACTTTTAAGTGAGTTAATCAGCCTTCTATACCTGCTTTTCTTCAAGAAGTATTCCAAGATATTATAAACTAATATATCATTTTAGCATCTATTATATAGGATATTAAATTTGAAAAAATTAAAATTAATCCAACAAAGAAAATTGCAACAATTAAGAACAATCAATGTGAAATTATACTTCAGTGATTAAGCCTGTAGAAATTTAGAAGTTAAATATAAACATTAAATTTCTTAAATTAGAAGGAGTTAGTAAAAAGCAATTTAACCAAGATCCTTATCCATTTCTTGGCTATTTTGCTAATTTTCAACCCACTAAAAAAAAGAATATATTAACTGGTAATCAATTAAAAGTTTCAAATCAATATTATGAACTATTGGCTTTTGAAGGTGAACTATCTGTTATTGCACCATTTATGATAAAAATTTTGCTATTAAAAAGAAGATTATTATAAAAGTCTTCTTAAATATCTAAAGGAACTTTTTATATTTCATAAAACTTCAATAGTTCAATTTGATCCTGCTCAGATTAATGGTAAATTAGCTTTAGAATATGAAAATCTTTGATTATCAAATTCTGATAATAGTTTAGATTTGTAAGATCAGATCATACTTTTAAGGTATACACCACAAGTATTTCAGAATCTTAGGGTTTGTAATTGTTTAAAGCATAATACATTAGATAGAAAAGTGCAAATTTTTACAACATTAATGTGCATGTGCTATCAGTCTATTTTTGATTGTAATATTACAACTTATAATATCAAAGTTTCTTGCAGAATGTCACTTTGATTTTGTATAAATTTGAATTATCATATAATTACTTAATAGAATGGATAAAAAAATATACAACCTATGAAAAAGAAACTATGTGTACAAATTAAGTAAGGTCTTTACTTACTGAAAAAGAATCACTATCTAACTTGTTTAATATTAATCAATCAAACAATTTATTTAATATTAAACATGTTATTGATAGGAATTCTTTTAAAGTAAGAAAAAGAAAAAAGAATCAGAACTTAGACAGCTATTCAGAATTGAATATAAATATTCCTGGCTTTGTAGAGAATATTTCATCAAGAAAACTTACAACTTTTATTACTGCAAAGCCTCACTTGTATGAATTACTTGAAGTACTCAATAATAATTGGATACTTCTAGATTTAACTGATAATATAAGTATTACTTGGTTAGAGAATTTTAGAAAAGATGAATAGATAGCTTTTATTAAAAAATATTAAAGGATATTAAATGCTTTATATTAAAAATTTTGTATTAATTTTATATTTGTTTTGCTAAATTGCTTTAATTATAATATATTGTTTTGTATAATTGAAATATTAGTTACATTAAATAAAAAGTAATTATATAATTTTAAATAGCAATTATAATAAGTCTGATATGAGCGTCATTAAAGAAAACTTTTTATTAGACTTTAATTATATTTTGTATATAGTTAGCCATTTATGAAAAATCTATTATTATGATAGATGGCTAACTATACACAAAATATAATTAAAAATCTGATAACAGGTGATAAATTTAATTTTTATTTACAGATTATTCTTATATTATTATACTAATTCTTTGAATTTTTTCACAACTTATTTTTGCAAATTGCTTTTCTATTAGTTTGGCAAAATATGAATTCATTATTTGCAAAAAAATATTAGTAAAAAAAAAGTTAGTTTTTCTTTAATAAATTATTAGTAAAATTAATTAACTTAACAAAATTCGATGTTTAAATACTTATTTTAATTTATAAATTTTATAATAATTAGCTATAAATAATAAAGTTTCATGCACTTATATATTTTGTATACAAGGAACTGATAGTCATAGCAAATTAATAAGTGTCTCTTCTCAAACAAGGCATAAAAAATGAGAAAAAAATCTTTAAAATTTTTTTTTTCAATTTCAAATAATATATCTAATAATATTTTAAATAATCAAAGTAATATTGTTAGTATAGTGGATATTGAGGAAAATATTGAACAAAGTAAACTAAATTTGTTTAGATTATTTTGAATTAATTATTTTTAAAATTGAATTAATTAGAGTATGACGACTTAGAGTAGTAGTTAAGTTGTCACCCTCCAAGTGGCAGGTCTAGAGTTTGAATCTCACCGGAGATGTTTTTAGAAAAATAGGCCTGTGTACTGATAACAATTATTTGACGATCAGTTGGGTATATTACCTGTAATCTTGAACTATCATTTGAAATAGAAGCTCTTGGGTGATCCAATTCAAGTAACCAGAATAATTAAAACCTGTTTGGCAAGACCTGAGTAAAGAGGTAGTGAAGTTCTTCAACGATACTGTGGAAAAGTCAGAAATCAGAGACTGAAGAACTAGACAAAAAACCCTGGGGCAAGAAGGGTCTACCAACCTGACTACTGGAGTTACACCGGAAGAAAAGATCCTATACTATGGAATTAGAAACCAAGGAAAGTAAAACCAGAAGGCACTTAATACCTAGTAACAACGACCTGTTCAGGCTAACTGGTTTAGTAGTTGGGGAGCGATCGGTATAAAAACCAGTTTGATGTAGATATCAGAATCGAAATGAACCTTGCAAAGGCACTGAATACTGGAATTATGTAGTTTAATGGTTCACCCTAACTGCTAATAGTGGCTCTGGCTGCGGCAGAAGATATTTGTAGCCTAATCTGGAAGTGTGTAGAATATAAAAAGATTTGGAAGGTATGTATTACACACTCTCTAAGGCAACTCAGTAGTATAAAATCCTACTGAGTTATCTATAAAATTAGGGTTCAAGTAGTATAGCAGATGTTGATCTTGGTGGCCTTCAATAAGAAGCAGCACAAGGTTACAAATTGGTATGATTATGGTAGTGCAAGACGAAGGACTTCAGAGGGTTTAAATAGATAATCTTCTAGTTAGATTACAGGTATGGCATATAGTGTAGAACCTTTAGGCAGACTACTTAAATTAGGTGACCAAAAGTTGTATGTGTAGCTATATGTACTCTCGCTAACCAAGAATGTACTACTAAAATACCTAATAAAAATTCACCCTTTCGTGATATTGCGAAGATATAAAAGAAAAAAAAATGAATTAATTTTTTAAATTTTTTAGATTTATAAAATGAGAAATTAGATGATTATGAATTGAAAGAGAATGAATTAGAAGAGAATGAATTAGAAGAAGATGAATTAGAGGAGAATGAATTAAAAGAGAATAAATCAAAGGAAGATGAATCAGAGAAGAATGAATCAGAGCAGGATGAATCAGAGAAGAATGAATTAGAGGATGAATTAGAAGAGGATGAATTGGAGGAGGATGAATTAGAGGAGAAAGATTTAAAGAAGACTGAATTAGAGAAAGATGAATTAGAGAAGGATGAATTAGAGAAGTATGAATCAGAAAATAGTAAAAAAATAAATTTTGAATCAGAAGAAAATTTTGATAATATTGAATTTAATGGTAATTATTTTTAATATTTTATTTAAAAAATATTTCTTTAAAAATTTTTATATTAATATTTTTATATTTTAGATTTATCAAATGAAATAATTAAAGAGTTTCAGCTTCTTTATATCAAAGATAAACATACAATTTCTAATCAAGCATTTAATGAAATATTAGAAATTTTTAATATTTCTAATGTTTCTCTTAATTGGCTTTGAAAAATTTTAGGAAATTTGGTTTCACTAGAACCAAAGCTTATAGATATTTGTTAGAATTCTTGCTGTATATTTACTGGACAAAATGCTAATCTTAATACATATCCTATATATAAAGAATCATGATATACAACTAAAAAAATCCAAAAAATCTTGAAAACAATTAGCATATTTTTCAATAACAGATAGCTTGAAATTATAATATAAAAATCTATCACAAGCAAAAGATCTTAAATATCGGTATGAATATACATCAAGAAAAGAATATATTTTTGAAAATAGCAAAATTGGTGATGTTTTTAATGGTAATAGATATAAAATTTTAGTAGTATTAGGCTTATTTTTAGATTATAGAGATATCACTTTAATTGTATCTATAGATGGCTATCAAATTTTTAAACAAAAATGAAATGAATGTTGGATAATTTTGCTTTTAAATGCAAATCTTCTACCATCAAAAAGAGTAAAAAAGAAAATTTAATAATTAATATAGTTATACCTGGACCAAAATCTCTAAAAGATTTTAATAGTTTTTTATGACCATTAGTTGATGAATTAAAGCAACTTGAATATATTTTTTTTTAAATTTTAAATTATATGATTAATAGTATTAAATATATTAATTAAATTAAAATTTTGTAAGAGGTATAACTTGTTATAATACAATATTAAAAGAGACATTTAAATTATCTAGCTATATTTTTTTATAGTCTAGAGATATTCCTGCTTGATCTAAAGTTATATATCTTTTAGGCCATAATGCTAAATATAGATGCCGATATTGTTATATAAAAGGATTTTATTCTAAAACTGCTAGATATATATATTATCTACTTCAATCATTATAAGAATATAATAATTATGATCCAGAAAATTTACTAATATATTCTTATAATAGTTATATTCTAGATAGTAATGAATGCAAAAAAGATAAGTTTTATTATTAAATTAATTAAATTTTAACTTATTTTAATTAATAAATTATTTATTATATTAATAGGTATAAATGGATATAGTATTTTATTTGAATTATCTTTAATAAATTTTCTTTATTATTTCTAGTAGATATTATGCATGCACTTTTTGAAAATGTTGCTCCTCATATGTTTCTTCACTTTATAAGAAAATTTTTAAAAATGAAAATTTCAATAATACTGAATATAAAATTTCAAAAAATAATTAGAATGAAATTGAAAAAATAATTGAATATAATAAGAAAACAATGCCAACAGATTTTGATAAACCTCTTATTAATATTCAAAAATATTATTTATCTTTTAAAGCTGAGAAGTGGTATAATTAGATAATTTTGTATTCAATTCTACTTTTGCATAAATATCTTTCAGAAAAGTAATTAGTTTTAATAATTTATAAATTTAAAAATTGTTATTATAAATAATTATTAAATTTTATTAAATTTATAGATATTTTAATAGTTGGTTAAATTTTGTTAATGCAACAAAATTATGTCTTAATCAAACTTTATCAAAAGTATGATATTAAAGAAATCAAAATACTATTTATCAAATTTATTAAATATTATGAACAATAAGTTTTTAAAATATAATTTTATAAAATAATATTTTTAAAATTTTAATTAATTTATTTTTTTAGAGAATATTATAAAAAAAAATCTGAACATTTATAGGCAACTCTTATTAGTTTTCATTATCTTTTACATATTGCAGAATAAATTTATAAAACTGGTCCAGCATGGGCAATATGGCAATTTCTAATAGAAAGATTATATGGAATGCTAATTCCTTTAGTTAATTCTCATTTTTGCAGAAACCTTTGATTTTGTTAAATATGTTTATAATATTGCTACAATATTGCTACAATATAATTCTAATATTACAAAAGTTATTATATGATAAACATATATTAATTATATATTAAAAATAATATTATTATATTTTAAAAATATTTTTATTATTCTGTTAAATCACTTTTAATTTGATGTATATTATATATTTGTAATATAATTACACTATAGTTTAATACTAAAATTATCTTTTAATAATCTAATAATAATTTAATAAAATAATATTTTAAAAATATAATAGCAATCTGTTTAAAATAATCAAATAAGATTAAAATAATATTACTAATATCTTAAAATTAACAATATGATAAAAAGATTGTTAAAAGTAACTTAACAGATTAAAA